TTTCTTTGGATGCCAATTGTATCTCACATAATACAGAGAAGAAAAGTACTACGTGGGGACAATTATTTGACTCACGCAGAGAGTGCGCTAACGTGAGCAGGTGTGTACAGTTTTATCATTTATGAGTCATTTTCTGGTCCATTGAGGCCCACGGACAGACCTGATGATCTCAGAAGCCCAAGTAAATTTTGGCCCCATTTAGATCTTGAACTTGATTTTTTAAATGTATATTGCTTGTTTGCTAATGACGTGACCTGACGTTGAAATCAAATTAAGATTACTACTAATTTATGGGATTGTCCAGAAAGAATTTCGGTCTCCATTTTTTTTCTTGTTAACAAGATAATAAAGTGTAACACGTGATGTAATTATACCCATCGTTTGTATTATTGTCATAATGCAGAGCTGAAAGTCACTTAAAAAAAAAACCTTCTTACCATACGAAATGGGCAGAAAAATTGTGTATAACAAATCATATATTGGAGCTCAAGAACATCATAGTACAACTCTAAGATAAACTTGTCTTCTGAGCTCAATCAGAAGCTAACTATGAAATTCCCCGATTCAAGATATGAGTTGAAAAAAAACAATAGTCTCGCTATAGACAAGCGATCTGGAAGCAATGCTTATCTTCATGAGTGGATGGCCTTGGAGGATCTCTAAGCTGAATACCAATCCAATCAACACTGAGGGCATAACGGCCTAGGCTCGAAGGCTGGGCTATAGGCAACGATTCTCCATCAAACCTCTTGAGAAGACTAACGAGAAGCTAAAAAAAAGCGCTTGAGTAAATCAAGTCACGTGTAAGCCATAGTTTATTGAAATGAATAAGATCATATCGTCCCATTCTAACGCCATAATCTATTTTTCAATTTATTAAATTATTAGTGCCTTTCCTTTCTTTCATGGCAATAATTCTTTTTTCCAATGAAAGCTAAAGAATTATTCTCCAATTCCAAAGATGCACACAAATTTTTATCCAAATGCAGTAAGGTTATAAAAGGTATTGACATAGATGCGTTATGTTCAACAAATTCAATGGTGAGAGTGCCACTTATACTATTCTTACAGCTTTACAGCTGTAAGCAGAAAAAGAGGAGAAGAAATAAAGGGGAAAAAAAAGGATTTATTTTCTAAGTTAAACACATGGCTTTATTAATAAAAACAATAGAGTGAGTAAAGGTCAAAAAAGAAATGTTCAGATCAACAAGCAAAAGTCGCTTACCATCATATATTATTCAACCATTATTGTATGGGACCTTCCGATTTTTATGATACGATATTTGATATGTTAGATTGAATAAAATTAGTCCGATTGAACTAAACAATAATGACAGCAATGCATATAGAATTAAGCAGTCTTGTATCCCGCGAGTTCAAGGGTGGAAGCGAGCAGGTAGACTCACCCCATTTGCAGACCGATCGGTAAAGCACTTGTGCTAGCTAGTTCATCGATGGCTCATAATTTTTAGTTCAAATTAAAAAATAAGAAATAAAATGATGAGCCGAGCTCGATTGTAGATGAGACAAGTGGCTCAACTCGACCCCTATCAGCAGTGAAGTGTATTAGACCAAAACTAACCAATTTTGAATTGGTCAGATCAAATCCAGTTTTATGTTTCACTTTTATGGCTCCTAGCTACAACAACAAAGTGTTGATTTTTTTAGATATATATTAATTCATGTAAATTCGTGAAATTCATATGTACTATCTCATTTATTCACTACTAATTTCTATATGTTTATAAACACTTGCCAAACATATATTAAATGATAATTTTTATAAAAACATAATATTGAAATTTAAGTAAATTTGGATTCTTTAGTTAGAATCGAGAATCATGCTGAACCATCTAGTATTTTCAAGACTCAAAATCAACTAAAATTTTAATTGACAGTGTTGCAAATGAATAGAATCAACACACTTCGGTCCACTTTGGATGGTTTCGAGAGAAATGGTCACTAATGTCTACTCTTTTAGATTGTGCTCGACTAATCTTTATGCTCGTCGTCTTAATAATTTATTTTACGATATTTTTCATTTATAGTTTTTTTATCGATGAAGAACAAGACTATAAAGTTATGAGATCTTGGGTTAATTGGAGGGTCCATTGAGAATCATTCATCCAGATGTCTAACACCTATCAAGCATTACTACCATCAATTCTCTCTCAACTTTCCTTAAGACAAGGCAACAAAATTAGGAAAGAAAACATGTTAATCTTCCACAAATTCAAAGATTTTGTCTCCCAAATTCAAATACATCACTATCAACTTTTCATTAGTTGTGCAGTTCTCTATCCAAAATCATGGTCCCTTTTTTCTTTTTAAATTCCTTCCATTCAATTTAGTAATTTGTTACAAGTAATTTTCTGAAATCTCGTGTTTCATCTCAATTCATTTAATTTCGAGATAAATTTTTTAATGTGGATACATCTCGACATATGCGTGACACATTGATCATGATGCCTAAGCAATTTATCAATCAACCATTTACATTTAGAATTAGACATAAACGGCTTGTTAGCTTTGACTAGACCAAGAAACCATCACCTTAAGTTATGTTTAAACAGAAACATTTAAATGACAATCTGTTTGGCAAGACTTTTTAAAATTAAAAAACTTTTCGAGATAATAAGTTACTTTTAAATATGTTTGAATAATTTTTTGAAAATATTTTATTTAGTTAGAAGATCTTTTAGAGAAAACGATCCTAAAATATTTTTCTCAATAAAAATTTCTATAAGTAGTAAAAGCAGAAACTCTATCAAATGAATCATTAGAGAAGGTAATGCTTTACTATGAGAAATCACACGGTATTAAACTATTGATAATTTTTTAATATGCGAATTATTATTATTATTATTATTATTATTATTTTTTATACTCAGGTGTTCGCCTTACAACGACTTATTCTAGGGCCTACGATCCAGCCCCTTTTCACGCAGATCAGGTAAACCGCGAGTTGTGCACCAAATTGGCTAGAGTCCAAGAGCTCTTCCAATTGAACTGTTAAAGTGTCGAGCGAGTCAAACTCATGCATGCGCCTTGCCTTCCAGGAAATATCTTGCCTTTCAGGAGAAAGTTTGCCTTCCAAGAGCCTCAAGAATTGAACCCGCGACTTTTGAACTGTCCGCCTTGAAGAATTCCGTCCTTTGCCAGTTGGGATGTGCCCCGGGGTCAAGACGTGAATTATTATTGTACATTAAGATGGTGGATAATTAATGTCCTAACGTGTTGACATAATTTGGTGTAGGCACTGAGAGAATGACAAATGGATGGATGTTAATGGGTGGTTTGGATATATTTTACTTATTATAGCCAGTTGGTACGCATGCAAAGCCTAAATCAATTGGTTCTTCCAAAGAAAATCAATTTGTGTAATACGTATTCTATAAAGAAAGGTTACAAATAGAAAATTAAATTACGTGTGAGACCCATCCATTGATTAGACAGAATTTGATTGCATTAAGGAAAAAAAATAAAATACATAAGTATTAATTTATTATTCCACGTATGTTAATTTTAGGAGATGACATTTTTGATGCAGACTTATGTCTCTTGCTTAGCTGAAAAGCCTAAAATGAAGTTAATTGATACTTAAGAAAAATGAACAATTTATAAGTAAGGAAATGGACATTTTAAAAAGAAAAAAACGATTATCACATAAGTTGAAGATATTTATTATGTAAATTAGAATAATGTTCCTATTGTAATTTTTGTGACTAAAAATGCAAGTCTCAGTAAAAATAATTTACAGAAAGATCATGAGATGAGAGGATAATAACTAGTGATGACAACGGGGCAGGATGACTTTACTATACTCATCCTATCGTGTAATTTCCCTCACCCAATTTCCTATCTGCCCCGTTTAGTTTTTCATGTCAAAATTTCCTTAATTTTTATAATAAAAATGGGGTAAGTTTGCATGGTAAGGTGGAAAATTTTTATATTATATTAAAGATATGCTATATGTACAGAAAATGATTAACAGAATTAATACGGATGACACTTAGCAGTAATTGTCGGCTAAAAAAAAAAGACGAGGCACGAGATGCTCCATCTGGTGCAGTTCTTGAAGCAATTCCTCTTGTACTGAGGAATTGCTGATAATATTAAGAGGGGCAGGTCCCCTCTAGAATTGGTACACTTTTTATTTATTTTTTGGTCAACCCTAATAATAAAACTAAATATAATAAGTATTATTCCCAAATTTTAAGATTGAATTTATCAATTCATTTTTTGAGTTACTTCATTTGATTGTCACTTTTTAGACAATATTTGTATTGTTTAGTATCAATACAATAGGATTCCTTGATGTATAGAAAATAAATTTTAATGTTTTAAATAAAAACGAGCTAGACAAAGATTATTGTCACCAAAAAATTTGGAGAAATATCAGTAGTTCGATCATATATACCACATATGGGATAAGAAAGTTTACTCAAATTTGCCCCCCGGGACATATTCTAGTGATGCAAGGGATAGGAATGAGGTAGTATCAATCTTGTTGGCAGACATAGTTTGGGGGTTCGAATCCTAAGATATGAAATTGGACTTTTTGTGGGCACCAGTGTACAGGCAACTCTTGTTCCTTGACCTGTTGGGACACATTCCGCGATTTACTTCCCTCACAATACTTTAGGGGCGGGATCGTGGAGTCCTCATGATTGAGGTTAAACCTTTAAATTTACTCAAATTTCAAATCATTCAAGTCAGATATTTAGGGTGTCGAGTAGGTCTGTTATTTGCCTAAGTGCTCCGTTTCTTATTTTTTTATCCACTCGACATTCAAAGACGTCGTTTTTAGTGAACGGTCGTATACTGTGTACATAAACATCTTCCTGCCATGAGGTCAAAGTCCAATCCACTGGCCGACAACAACTATTTTTTTTCCCTTCACATGCAAAGCAAACTCCTCCTCTCTTGTTTACAGTCAAAGCATTGAAGGATTTTAGATTTTGAAAGAACTGAGAAATAATCTATTACAAGATTAAACATAAATGCAATTTCAGTTTATAATAATACAGATTTGTCCATGAATATTCTCCATTGCATTTGCCTCTCTCTCTCTCTCTGTAAATTGCCCGCTCTTTCTGCCAATACCAACTCTCTTGTTTTTTTCTTCTATTCTTACGCATAATGGCAGAAATAATAAATGAAAGCCAATTAAATACAAAATTAATTAAAATAAATATTGATATTAAGCTTCTCCAGGTAGTAATTAACGAGGGCTCCCAACAGCATCGACAATAACTCTGCTAAGTGATGGCAGTTTCATTTGCTGTTCTTGAACCCTTCTTTTCTTCAACAGTGGCTGATGGGCCGACGAAGAAGCCGATGAAGAAATGCACGATGCCACTCCACACGAATCACTTGAGCTATCGGAACTGAATGATAATGCATCCATTCCATTTGGACTGCTTGGAACTTCACAAAATCCACGCTTTTGAAGAAACGGACCAGTTTTTGATGTCTCTGAAATAAGCTCGGAGCAATCTTTCACTTGCTCCTGTCAAAATTAAAAATTAAAAATTTTAAAAACAGACTATTAAAGGAAAAATAACATGAAGGGCATCTCGTTAAAAGACAAATGAAAAATACAAACAAACCATGTTTATCTTGAGAATCCCAAGAAGCTGGTTTTCATAGTCAATGGCTGCAGTGCAAGGTTCAACTTGATGTATAAAGCGAAGCATGGTTGCAGTAGCAACAACAGAAGGCAAATAACGTGCGAATCTTGAATCTGAATAGTCAAAAAATCAAACGTCAATTATTTGTAATAAAAAATGTCGGTATATATATATACACACACACACATATGAGAGTTGTATGATTACCAGGCATAATGGAGAAGATGAGATTTTCACATTTCCTTACGAACTCCAAGTGAATATAGGATTTTAATCCAAGCCTTCTTATTGTATGATCAAGAAATGAAAGAGGAGTCACTGGATTCATCCTCCATTTGAGTGCAGAAAGCACCAAAAGTTCCATTCTTTGAATTGTTTTCGGCTCGAACACGTAATTTGTATTCTCCACCTGTTGATCAAGATTAATAAATTCAAAACCCAAAAAGAAAAGAAAAGAAAAGAAAAGGATCTTCAAGTGCGTGTTTGTTATACAACACTAGCCCAGACTGGAGAGTCGGGAACATACTTGAAGGTCTAAGAGGAGAGGAACATGGGTTTCTTCGACCTTTGCAGCCAAAGAAAGACAAGTGACAGCTGCAAGTTGAATCATCCATGGCTTATCCTTCTGAAAATGAAGCCTGTAAAGAAACCTGTCAAGATAATTAACTGCAAGAATAGCAGTTAGTGCTGAAAATCCATAATGAGCATTCACTTTCAAGATCCATTCCACGGCCTGTTTTCGAGCAAGACAAAGTGAAAATTCGAATTCAACGTTATTATTTGATTCAGAAAAGGTTTCCTTTTCTTTGCAGAACAGAGATTGAAGTTCTTCATCATCCCAGAATAGATCTTGTTCCGTTAACAGCACCGAAATAACAGAAAAAAAATTGCCATTAAAATGATTATTGAAAATGATTTCACTCTCCTTTTCTTCAACTTCACTCCATTTTTCTTCTTCCTCACAGTAAAGAGCATCAAAGAAAGAAGAATCAGAATCTAGTTTTTTTTCTATAGCCATCTTCTTCTGAAAAGAAGAGGTTTGTAATTTTCTGTGTTCATTCTACAAAACAGAAAACAAAAAGAAACCGAAACCCCATTTTCATTTTTCAATCTTTCTCTCTATATGACTCTCTCCCTTTCTCTGTGTTTCTCTCTTTGAATCTGAATGGAGACTGAAGAACTCAAGTCTCAAAAACAGAGAGATAAAGGAAGAGATTTTATCAGAGTGGGTTTCACGCTTGTCCTTTCTTTATGCTTTGAGATTGTCGTAACATATTGACAATATTTTTGTTTTTTACTTTTTCAATTTTATGCTATATTGGACTCTGTGTGCTTTTCTTGGCGGGCAAAACGGTAACGGCACACACACTGATACCAAGTAGGGCCCCGAGGAAATTATCGCACATAGAACCAACATCCACACACACTGCACAAAATATAAACAAGTTGACAGAAAAATTACAAACACTCACATTGGAAGTGAGTGGGCGGATATTTTTTCCAATTTTTTATTCACATGGAACTCGTGTGAGTGTTCAGAATCGAACCCCTACCCTGTACAACAAGAAGGATTGAAATATAAATTAATGTTAAGTGAATTGAGGATTTTAACCGTGTGAAAGTCATGTGCTATTAGTTTATTTATCCGAAAGAAAAAGAAAAAGAAAAGAAAATTAAAAGTTTTTTATTTTTTTTTTATTTTTTTTACTATAAACTTTTAAAGCACGAAATGCTGTGATATTGTGGTATACTGGTATTGATGGCCAACTCATCCAGATGACTTAAAAGAATTTAATTATTACATACTACTAAAAGTTAAAACACAGTTGTTATCCAGTTAACCCATAATTAACCACCTAATTACAACGCTAACAACAGTCATTTCATGATTCTTATTAAAGTCAAAAGCGGCCCACAATTTCTGTTTTGAGTTCAAGGTTCTCAAAATCATTTCTCCCCAACATTCTCATTCCTTGGGATCGCACCTTGTGTTTAAGTTGTTAACTCACGTATTGTTTGTTTTGAAAGAACATCGACCCTCTTATCCTTTATAAATTTCTCTTCACGTCCACTAGAATTCAAACTCAAGACCTTTGTCTTATGAAATATTTAAGTTGAATTTTGATATCAATTAAGCAAATTTGTCGAATTAGTACTAGTATTCAGCTTAAATCTCTCTTTGAAACCTAAAGGATGTGACAAAAATCTATAAGAGGCAAAATGGGCAGACTCCAAGGATGTATGATACATATGATGTAATGACTTGATCACAGAGACCAAACTGTTGCATCTTCAGAATGCAACAAGTTGTACAAAAGCCTTGGAATTGTGTCCATGTTAAAATTTTACCCCATTATGGTGTTAAAATGTGCAGCCACCCATACCAGCACGCTCTATGCATGCCGCATGGTCCAACCCAACAAGCCTGTTGACCCTGTAGATTCGACTTGCCCCATCCGCGCCAGGCGGGTTACGAATGACAGTGAGAAAAGGTCACATCCAAGTATACAAAAAGATGGTTCACAGAGTTTGCCACTGAGAGATAAAGAAAGTGGAACGCCGAAAGGGAAGCAGTTTCAAGTGCCAAAGGTGTTAAATCCACCATATAATATTTAGTCAAACAATAGTGGTAAACTGTTGAAAGGTCTATTCATCTTATGATTTGCAATTATTCAACCTCATGTGACATATCCACTCATGCATAATCATTACCCTTTCATCTAATTTTCCCAACAAAATTATCTAAAAAACAAACAACAAATGCCTTAAAAAAGATATATACAATACAATCAAGCAATGAATGAATGAGTATCGTTTCGCGACATAAAAGTTTCCAGAAAAAGAAGACTTTTAGAATATGATGTACACTTGATAACTAGCATTAACTAATTGATGATCTTTCTTAACCAGAAGCATTCAGCGTCAGTAGGGCGGTGGAGGATATAGTGGTGGTGGATATGACCCTGTTATAAAGAAGTAAGTAGAGTAAGTCTTCTGAGCAGAGTATATTATGTACTAAGCCAAAACAAAAAGGATTTTACCTGGAGGGTAATAGTGCGCATTTTGAGGTGGTGGCGAATATGGTGATGGAGGATATCCAGAAAATGGCGGATAAGATGGAGGATAAGTAGCAGGCTGAGAATGATAAGGCGAAGGAGGGTATCCTGCTGAGGTAGGAGGATATGAAGGATACGGAGACGGTGCTGAGTAGCCATTTACAGATGAATTGTAAGGAACGGTGGATGGAGGCGCAGAGAAGAGAGTGACCTGAGGTAATGTTGCAGCCCCAAATGGTGGAGCTGATGGAGCATAGCCCGTTGCATTTGAATAGTGCATAATCAGTCGAACTACTCCAGCATGCCTGTACACAAAAGGACAAATTTTAATCATCTTTCTAAAGTTACAAGTGGCAAGAAAAACTAGTATTCAATGAGCAATTTGTTCTATTAATATCACATTAACATGTTATTTGAGGGCAGACAATCACATTACACGTTTCGACATTAAGATCAACTAAATATACGAAAAGAACACTATACTTTAAACAATCCACTGAAAATAAAATGGTCCCCAACTTCACAGTACACCCTTGGAATGCTCATCTTTAAGGGCCCCAACATAGAAATGCTCATTTCCTGGAAATCGTATAGTGAACCTGTTCTTGCCATGTACCCAAATAATGAAAAACCATATGTAGGGTTTTTTGACATGCTACAAGGAAGCAGCAGTTGAAATCTAATACCTCAATATTGCATAAGAAAAGGAGGCAAATAAAGCTTGTTAAGTATCATAACAGATCGTGTAGAACGGGGAAATAGGAAATAGCTCAACTTTCCATCAAACAATTGTACGGATTCTGGAGTTCTCCAAGGGAAGGTCACTTCAGTTCTACAATTTCTCGTTGTAGTATGCAAATATCTTACACGTAAGGTATCACATAGTACAGCATCCAACAAGCATCTGTATACTTTGGCAAACTAGCTTGTCTAATGTCTAGTTTCATGATCAAGGACATAGTAGATCCCTATTTAGTGAAACAGAAACATACTAAAAAAGACTTATTTCAACCAGTTTTTAAATTGATGACTTCCTTCCTTCTTACTCCTTTTTAAATAAGCGTACATAATTTCCACCATTTTACCAAAATAATTAACATGATAATTAAATTCATTCCGAAATTATTATTTTTTCCTCCCCTCCACTCACCATCAGATTTTACCACCCAGGTGTAAAGTCACTTCCCACAGGTTTCAAAGTGTGTATATATATATATATATATATACTTCAACCACTTTAAACCAATGCCATCCTTTCTTCTTTACTCCTTCACAACATAAGCTAAATCTTTACGACATCTTCCCAGGATCACTGACACGACATGTTAAATTCATCAAAAACTATCATTGCTCCTCAAAAAAATCGGCAATGTTCCCCTCTCAAAAAATCAGCAACCTTCCACCCATATCACAGCCACACCTCATGGCAGCCTCATTGCTACAACATTCTTCCCAGGCCCACCAGCTTCTCCTCCATTGAGTCATGTGCTCACATTAGCGTGGTCATACCTACGTGTACATACAAGTACATGTGTACTTGTCTGTCCGTGTGCATTATTAACGTACACATTAACAGAAAAAAAGACATACATGCAAATATTTGCTTCAATTACAATAATGGTTTTCATTTCACAACATATAGACTTGCATGAGACGGTGAGTATAAATAGATGAATTTTTGGTGAAATTTAAACTAATGCCTTTTCAACATAGGCTAACCAAAGAATAAAATAGAGTCCCTCTAAACTTTGTTTTATTTTTTTGATAGGGAGACCCTCTAAACATTATTGCAGGAAAAGAATATTTCCACTTTTCTTTTGCCTGGGGCTGGGGGGTTGTTTGTTCCAATAGCATTGTTACTCGCTAGGAAATAACTAAATAAGCATCATCCCAGCAGAAAGCTAGGCACTCATGGTCACCATGAAATAGAATTTTCAAGAACAAGCATCAAAATGGATCATAGAATGGGATAAATGCGTGGAGCCATTATCCACTTTCCATGGACATAAGCTAAAAATCTTGGGAATATTACAGTTACCAAAAAATAAGAAAAAATATTTCCACACCATAGCTCTAGCAAGCATGATGATATTTCGCACTTGGTGTCTGTAATGATCTAGTATATAAAGTTTCAAGTGGGTATATTTAAAAGGATAAGTGTGACGATTCATCACGATAATCATAAATGATCCAACAGAAGTTCATAATAGTTCCAGAGACATTCCAAAATTTTATAAGCGCTGTATAAATCACTACTCTTGAAACACAAATAGAAAATAAAACATATAAAAACATACAGAGCAAACACAAAATGCCATTAACACAACTATAATGTTCTGTTTTGGTATATCAGTACCTGCCTTTCTTGTCCTGAAGAGGCCAGGAGCTGTCGTCATAACCCTGAGATAGAACTTTCTGCAACTGAACCCTAAACACACCAAATTAAAAGACCACAACTCAGCATACAAGGGCAAATCTTTGCGGCACAAACAGGGAAAAAAAAAAAAAAATCAATCACGAATTAAACTCGAAAAATCCAAGATAATTACTTTCCACTGCCGATGAAATCATCATAAGTTAGAGTATTGCTATTCCACACGACAACATTTAACTCCGGCAACCCTTCTATCAACGTAAATATGAATTTCTCTTGAAACGTAGGGTTTTTCCCACCATCTTCACAAATTTCACACAAAAAATCATCATAAATTAAAACCCACAAAAGATTGTAATGAAAATAAACACCAAAAAAAATTCAATTTAAAACAAGTTTATTGCATGTATACGTCTAACATACCTGTACACGTACGTGTACGGTATTTGGTGCTAGCATATTCGAGACAGACGTAGGGATCTTGCCTTGAAATCCATTCCGTGTCTTTCAATTTGGTACAACCGACCACTGCGATCCAAAATTTTAAAAATAAAAATAATGACGAAAAAAATGCACATTTTATTCAAGAAACTAAAAGCAAAAGGACGAAGTTAAAAAAGGGAAAATTTCAAAACGCGAACCTGTAATCTCGATGAGTTGACCTTGAATGCCAGAAAACGACATGGGAGGGAAGAAGAACAGGATTAAGGTCTTTAAAGTTGTTTTTGTAATTCGACTTTCGACAGGAAGAATAAAAATGGTGGCCTTTATAGTAAGTTTATGAGGGGTTAATTTATGCAGACGTACGAAGAATTCAAAGAAAAATCAAATCCAATTTATAAAAAAAGGTTGACTAAGGTGGGACTCTTGGGCCAAGGAGGATCCGGGAGCTTTCTGGTTTCTTCAACGATTAAGATAAGCGCGCACGAGAGAACAAAGTTGCGCGTAAAATCTTGTTGACTGAGCGCGTGAACGAAAGTACAAGGAATTAATCGTTTTTCTCCATTTTTATTTTTATTTTCTGTTTTTTGATAAACACGTTAATTTCATGATCAGAAGGTTAAGAGATGAGCAAGGGATAGGTAGGGACGATGATCTTGAGAGTTTGTAATGATACATAATAGCGTTAAGGGGCGAAATCAGGGGGGAACAAAAAATTAAAAAAAAAGTTATTATACTAAATTGATGCATAGAAAAAGAAAATTCGATGAAAATTTCATCATAATTTACGGTTAACAATTTCGTAATTACTATTCATTTATTATTTATTTAGTTTATGAGATACCCCATTCATTTTCATTTTAATTTCTCTGAAACAACATCTAATTTTGAAACATATATTTGAAAATTGTTTTACTTGCATGAAATATGCTTTTGATGTTTAAGTTTTTACGTTGATCATCCCAAGTCACTGCTCAACTTTAGCCGGCTTAATTTTTACTTGCTGTTTTTGATCAAATTTTCTGCAAAGAGATTAGAGAATAGTCCGAAGGGTCGAGTCATTTTCAATGCGCACAAGTTTGAAATGACATTGTTATGCTTTTGCTTTAATTGAACTAGCGAGTTTTTTTTTTCTTTTTTATTCAAGCTACGTATTTGAACAATCCTCTAAGAGATGGACTGATAGTAGTACTAATATTTGTATTGGTATTATGCGATGAGGGTGGTGTTCTTCTCCTCCTAACTATCAAGATTGTCCTCCATCATGTTCGTACCACCTTCTTCCGCTCCTTCATACCCGTTCGAGAGCAAACACATTAAAATTGTCTACCCTGTAATTTAAAAATTCAAGAGCAAAATCAAATATGATTCGCCTGGCATTACCAAGACATGAACACGTGGCTATGACATATGCAACAAATACAAAAGTTGAAAATCACGTCTAAAGGTGTAAATAAATTACATTGTATTAGATTTTATATCCAAGACTTAGCCTTTATGTTTATGTTGTCTCTTTTAGAGGTTGAATTTTAATTTTAAAATATTTACCACTAGTTTTGTATGTGACATCCTCCTCGAATATGGTGTAAAGGCTTTCGCAGGAGTGGACTTCAATAGCTTCAACTTCAATGGACCCGAACTCGATCTCAATAGCTTCATTGAAGAATTACTAGATATAACTGTTTTCCATTCAAATTCCAACCATTTCAAAGGTGCAATTAAATTGAAGATTTCAAAGCTCAATTCCTTTGATGATTAGGATTCCAAAATATTATTGAGCATTATTTTCTAACTCTATCGTACTATAATTTTTTAATAATTTGACGGGGTAATATTGACACATTCGCAGGAGCATTTCCATTGAAGATTTCCAAGCTCAAATACTTGTATGAACTTGGACTTGAGAAATAACAAACACTCCAATGAATTCACATGCCAAATCTTGGTGACACCAAAATTTCAGGGTTGCTTCCACCACAAATTTTGTGCTAGATCTTGATGGGCTTTTCATCACAAACAACAAATTTGATGCAAAAACTTCCTGATAATTTGGGCTCCACTCTTTACTTAGCCCATGTTTGGCTCAACTAAAAAATTGAATTTAAATTTAAGTCAAACTTAACAATTAATTTTAACAACATATTTTATTAGATCCACAATTTTCCAATTACAAACTCCATCAAATTTTATCTTAACCAAACGGGGGCATAATCATAGCCTATGACAATTTATTGGTCCAATCCATGAAAGTACTGGGTTGGGCCAGGCCTCCAAAACCTTGATTGAAGTTCTTATTTGAATAAATTGCAATCGAGCTGCTTGCCGTGTAAGATTGAGCTCTTTGAAAAAGACGAGTTGTTTATTAGGGAAATTTCATATCTAAGAGATTATCACTCATTTCAAAATTAGAAAACAATGTTTAAAACTTCAAAAATTATATATTGACTGAGCCCCCGTCTGATAGCAATTTTTCACCTCAAAAAATTAATTTTTTGATCGTTATTTCACTATTTTGGCCATCATTTTTGACTTCTTCACTTACATGTGAGACCTACTTTTCGCTCAAATGGTCAAAAAATCAATTCTCATAATTACTACCGAACATGCCCTAAATTTTACTTATAAAGTAATTAATTAAAAATATATTTTATGAATTAAATATATTAAGATCACATATCTATACAATTTGATCACAATTATCGAATTAATTGATTACAAATTATTTTTTTGATAACAAATTAAAAATTTTACAGATCACAAATTATTTCACGATTACAAATAAAAATTTTTATAGGTCTCAATTTGTTCATCAATTACAAATCAAAAAAATTATGTTACAATATATATATTTTTTTATCACAAATTACAAATTTTATAAGACACAACTTATTATATGATCACAAATTATTAAATTAATTGATCACAAATTATTCCTCGATCACAAGTTATTAATCACAATCAACAAAATAATTGATCACAAACACTCTTCTCACCCCCTACCTCAAACCCCACAACCACCATTACCCACAACTACCACTGCACTACAATCACCATGCCAATATCACCACTGTAGCAACCTCAGCCATCATCATCGGGCACAAACTGCAAACATGCTAACAAACCCACCTTAAAACAACTGAGGTAGCTTGAGCTGTTCCCACCTCCTCTGTCCCTTCCACTACCACTACCATCATCGTCTCCTCCCTTTTCTCCTCCAACTACCCCATATCCCGAACTAAGTCGAAAACTAGATATAAAATTTGTTGGATTTTTTGATACCCAATAAATCTCGAACTATGATATTAACGTGGGTTAATATTATTTCATAGGCATAGGTCGATGAATGAAATAAGTCTAACAATCAAGTCCATGAGCTACACCTAACCCAATTGTATTCCCTTGTGGATGGTTTGAATCTTCGCCCGTTTACCCCTTTAATGGTTCAACTTAAAGCCTAACCCTAGAGTATATATATATGGCTATAACCCTAACTACTTTCTTATGATATATTGTGTGATTTTGAGAGAAGAAAAAGAGAATCCCAGCTGCCCCCTTTGTGTGAGAAAAAAGGTCTCTAGAAATGTCCAGAACGCTTGTATAACGTGTGCAATTGGTGGTTCTTTCATAGTATACATTTGTGTTGTCTTCTCCTAGCCTTTGTGGCCACAAATCATCATCTTTTCTTGTCCTACGTGGGTAAGATTGAATAGCAATTGAGGTGAATCAATTGGTTGTGGTTTGGAGCCGATTGGACTGGTTGTTGGTTGAGAATGATGCGTTGGACTGAGCCCGAAAATCACCGATTTAAAGATATTTCAAGAAAGCTTCCGCAACAATTGGTATCGGAGTTTCAAGATGGTGGTTTTGGCTCTTGAAATATAGCAAAAAATCGTCCAAAAACCGGCAGAAACGAACCATATATCAGATCGAAAAAATTGTCAAAATCAGTCTCGGTTTTTCACATTTTCTGATTAATACAGAAGGAGTTTTGGAAAACGGAGACCACTGGCGTAACGTACAAGTGGAGGCGAACTCTGCAGGGTGGCACGTGTCGGTCGATGACGGCGCGTGAGGCCCATGCGCAGAGGGAAGAAGACGCGCGTGAGGGCACGTGAACTGGAATTTCGAGGAGGTCCCTTCAGGCAATTTATTCCTGACATTATTTCTGACATTTTTCGTTTGAAAGTTTTTTGTTTTAGGACCTGCAGAAGAATCTAGACAACGTTGTTCTTCAGGCATTTGAGACTCGATCGTGATTTTTTGGTTGCTGCAATTTCCAGAGACTTTAAGACGAATAGTGGTGGTCCTAAAGTGATAAATTCGCAACTCTCGTAATTTACGGATTCAGATAGGCCCGCTCTGGTATATTGACTTAACTCAGTTTAAATTTCAGCATTAACAGATCATCGTGTGGGATGATCGTTAGGATTGGGGGTTGTCATTGCTTGGCAACCATTGCTTGTGCTAGAAAATTTAGGAATTACTTGCCCTATTTTTGAAGGGTTGAACTTTGATTGCAAGTTGCTAGTTGATTTTGTGCTTATCTGTCATATAGTCACCGTGTGAGATTTGTTGCGTGAAAATTTGAAATTTTGGTTTATATACCTTCGTGTTTGCATTAATTATCCAATTAGAACACATGAACTTGACTCGTTCGAACATTCCCTTGATCTAAGATCGTGAATCTTACGAAACCCTGGGAATCTAGAACGGTGTATATTGCGACTTTATGATTACTTTGTGTGACCTATTTGTGACTTAGTTGTTCTGTTTTTTATTTTCTTCTTAAAAATGTCTTCACACTTTGAAGTTGGAATTTTCAATGGAAAAGTGGATTTTTCAATTTGGCAACAAAATATGAAGGGTATATTGGTCTAACAAAAAGTTTCAAAAGTCATAAATGGCAAATTTTCTGCAAATTTAACAGAAACACAAAAAGAAGAGTCTGATGAACTTGCATACACTTCAATTATTTTACACCTGTCTGATACTATTTTGAGAAAAGTAGGAAAACTGGATTTTACAAAACAACTTTGGGAAAAGTTAAAGGATTATATTTGCTTAAGTCTATTCCTAATAAACTGTATTTGCTTGAACGATTTTTCAACTTTAAAATGGATCCTTCAAAGGATCTTGATGACAAATTGGATGTCTTTAACAAGTTAGTTCAAGACATCGATAATTGTGATGAAAAGGTATCTGAAACGTATAAGGCTATTATCCTGCTTAATTCCATGCCTGATTCATATAGAGAAGTTAAGAATGCAATTAAGTACGGTAGGGACACCTTAACACTCGAGATTGTCATAGATTCATTTAGGAGTAAGGAGGTGGAGATTAAGACTAAAAAAATGATAAGAGGAGTGGCGAGTTACATATGATGAGGAGTAGGATGAAGTTTAAGCAAATGAATTT